TGATTACTACTGCTTCCTCGATGGTTACTCATGTTATAACTAGATTGCTGTTGCACCAAAAGATCAAGAGAAGACAACTTTCACATGCCTCTATGGTGTTTTTGCTTACAAAAGAATCCCCTTTGGGTTGTGCAATGCTCTTGCCACATTTCAAAGATGCATGACTTCCATTTTTTCTGACATGCTTGAAAAGCATATGGAAGTCTTCATGGATGATTTTTCGGTCTTTGGTTTTTCTTTTGATAATTGTTTGGCTAATCTCTCTCTCTTGTTTTAGAAAGATGCTAGCAGACCAACTTGATTCAGTTTGGAGAAGTGCCACTTCATGGTGCATGAAGGAATAGTATTAGGTCACAAAATTTCCCATCAAGGAATAGAAGTGTACCAAGAAAAAATCAAAGTAATATCTAAGCTTCCACCTCCAGTGAATGAAAAAGGTATAAGAAGTTTCTTAGGGCATGATGGTTTTTACTGCAGGTTCTTAAGAGACTTTTCTAAGATAGCCAAACCTCTAACTACTCTTTTGGTTAAGGATAAGGCTTTTGTGTTTGGTAAAGAGTGTGCCGATGCATTTGAGACATTAAAGAATAAATTAGTGTTGGCACCAATTTTTATTGCCCCCGATTGGTCTCCACCATTTGAAATAATATGTGATGCAAGTGATATTGTAGTAGGGGCAGTTTTAGAACAACAAAAAGCAAAGTTATTACACGTTATTTACTATGCTAGTCATGTGTTGAACCCTGCACAGATGAATTATGCAACTACTGAGAAGGAGTTGTTAGCAATTGTTTATGCCTTTGACAAATTTAGGCAATACCTGTTGGGTTCTAAAGTCATTATTTATACTGACCATGCTGCTTTGAAGTATTTATTTGCTAAGAAGTATTCTAAACCAAGACTATTGTGATGGATCATGCTCCTTCAAGAGTTTGATGTGGAGATTCGTGACAAGAGAGCGTGTGAAAATATTGTTGTTGATGATCTCTCTCAGATGTCACCGATTGAAGAAACAGAGGACAAACGTCCAATAAAGGATGAGTTCCCCGATGAACACATGCTCTCTATTATTGGTGTCCCATGGTTCATAGACTATGCAAATTACTTGGTAGGTGGTGTTATCCCTGATGATTTTGACTCTAACAGGAAGAAAAAGTTTTTTCATGATTGCAGGTTCTACTTCTGGGATGACCCATTCTTGTAGAAAAGAGGAGTAGGTGGCTTGGTTAGAAGGTGTGTTCTATAGGGGGAACAGAGGGATGTTCTTAAAGAATCACATGACTCAGACTATGGAGGACACTTTAGTGGTGATAGAACCACAACAAAATTCCTCTAGTCAGGGTTATATTGGCCTTCACTATTCAAAGAAGCCCAAGATATAGCCAAAGATTGCGACACATGTCAAAGAACATGCAATATATCAAAAAGAAACAAAATGCCCCAAAATGCCATGTTGGAAGTTGAGTTGTTTGATGTTTGGGGTATAGACTTTATGGGCCCATTTCCATCGTCATTTGGAAAAAGTTACATTCTAGTGGCGGTGGATTATGTATATAAATGGGTAGAAGTAGTTGCCTTACCAACTAATGATGCAAAATTGGTAGTCAGATTTTTGAAGGAAAACATCCTTGCTAGGTTTGAGGTACCGAGATCTCTCATAAGTGATGAAGGAACCCATTTCCTAAATCACCTCATGGAGAGGCTACTCCGAAAGTATAATGTGAAACATATAATAGCCACTCCTTACCACCCTCAGACCAGTGGCCAAGTGGAAGTGTCTAATTGGCAACTCAAGCAGATCTTATAGAAGACTGAGCTCATCTTGTAAGGATTGGGTAACCAAGTTGGATGATGCGTTGTGGGCATATATAACTGCATTTAAAACACCAATAGGTATGTCTCTTTACCAATGAGTTTATAGAATAACTTGTCACTTGCCTTTAGAAATAGAACATAAAGTTTTGTGGGCCTCAAAATTACTTAATTTGGATCTTGCTAAAGCGGGAGATTCCTGAATCCTTCAACTCTATGAGTTAGAAGAATTAAGCAATCGAGCGTACGAGAATGCCAATGTTTACAAAGATCAAACAAAAAAGTTCCTTGGTCGAAGAATCCAAAAGAAGGAATTTTGGGAAGGACAATTGGTTTTGTTGTATAATTCTTGGTTGAAGTTGTTCCCTGGAAAGTTAAGGTCTAAATGGCCAGAACCGTTAATAATTTACAAGGTGTTTCCCCATGGAGTGATCGAATTAAAAATCAAGCAAACGAGGACATTTTTAAGGTGAATGGGAAAAGGTTAAAACCTTATTACCAAGGACAGAAGAGTTTTCAGATTGTCGTTTTTCATCTTGCAAGATGAGATGAACGACCGTCGAGCCATGCGATGTTAAGAGAAGAGCTTCGTGGGAGGTAACTCACGGTTTTTATCAGCAGCATACGATGTTTTTATACCCCAATTTTCCCCCTAAGATCCCTCATCACATCCTACAAGTATCATGCATATCATTGATTCTATGGTTATGAGATCAAATAAAGAGCTCTTGGCATTGGGGTTTTTCCCTATGAATTGAGGTTTCCATCTTACTCAAAGTTGATTCAACTAGTGCTCTTATCATTCTTGGTACGAGATTAGGGTTTTGAATCTCCAGCATCGTAGATGTCTTCCCTGACAAAATTCCTCAGGATACAAAGTTATCTTCATCAAGATTTTTTCAAAGAGTAATAATTAGAGTTTCTCCTAAGTTTTTTCTCCAATAGACATTCTTTTTAAGAAGTATAGAGGGATGAATCAAATACTTCTTTCTTGTGATGCTATATGTTAAGTGGTTAAGGACTGACTGAAGATTTCATCAAAATAATTCTTGTTGTTTAAGTCGTGAATCAAGGTAGGTCTGCTTCTTGAGCTTTGATTAAATAGAAGATTTATATTGAGTTTTCCTTGGAGGTGATTTGAAGATTCGTTCAAGAAATGCCTTTAAGCCCAGATTAATTCAAGAAAATTCGTATAATGGTTTGTATGGAATTCAGAGTTATCATTCAAAGTCAATGCGAATTCAAGCCCGTTTTATGAGAATTTCTTTAAAGGAGAATTACTTGAAACTTAAGACATTTCTCATTCTTCCCGATTCCATTCAAATCCCTTTCAAGTGAATATTTTGGTGCAATTTGTCAAATGGATTTATATTTTAAAGATGGAAGACTTGTTCAAGACTTAATTCAAACATCATACTGGTACGGATCCAAAACCCTCATCATCCATTATTCGGGGTGCCAAACTTCATGGTTCATTATATATTGCAAAATCAAAGAAAATATTTCGAATTTTTAAATGCAAATTAGAGGAAGCTTTGTTCATTAGTATCCTCAAATCATTACAAGTGGAAGTACAAAAAATAAGAGAGAAAAGGAATTGCAAGACAAAGTTTCTCTTACAAGGCTAAAAAAACCATTTCAATACACAAAAGCAAAAGATATTGATAGTTCTTACATGGAGATCAAATCAAAGAAGGTTGAGATTTCAAGTTCATGGTGAAAGAAGAAGTTTTGAATATATGGAGTTTCATCAATTGAATTCAATAAAGTACAAAAGGTTTTGTTCCACTATTATTACAAATTCGTCACCATTACAAGATTACATTTGAAACATCATTCATGATCCAAGAAAACTTCATTCAAGCTCCATTAAAAGTTCACAAGCTACAAGGGGTTCATCATTCCATTACGTTATTGAAAGATTACATGAAAGGGAAATTACAATATCATTCAATTAATCAAGATACATACAAATTGCCATTATAAAACCCATTCTAAAATGTTTCCAAACCTTCAAAACAGTTCCAAATATGTTTCCAAAACATAACTCCACTTTGCTTGCTCTATCCATAAACTCCCACCACGTACCAAAGATAGCCAAACTGGTCTAGAAAATTAAATAATTTTAGCCCTGCACTTCTTTGAACAGTTTGCATCAAATAACCAAATAAAATCCAAATTAGACCCTGCATAATCAGAAATCAGCTGTCAATACTAACCGAACCTCTTAATTTTTTCTAACCGATTGACTGATTGTAACAGAAAATAAATAAATAAAACTAACAAGTGTTCTTTCAAAACCTTAACTAACTACCTCACTTTAACTTAACTAACTAGTAAAACTATTAGGTCGTGATAGTTTTTTTTAAATAACTTTCATAACAGTTCAAACAAAAACCTAACAGAATAACAACCAACTTCTAGCACTAACTAATTCACAAATTAACCCTTCAACAGAGTAACAAAATCTCAACTGCCAACAACATAACAGAAAAATAAAGTAGGAGGAAGCTTGAGATAATAAAAAAATAAGCAAACTCAAAATAGAGTTAGGGGATCCTACCATCGGTTTTTTCTGGAACTGACCTTTCAATCAAGGGTTGAGATTGAATCTAATCTCTAACTAACTCTAAGAAAACTATAACAGATTTGTGACAAAATGATCAGGGAGAAAAAGATTCATAAGAAAATGGAGGCTGCTATATAACGGGAAGATAACGAAAAATTCAGGGGAGAGATAGACTCACCAGAAATTCACTCTGAAATCTTCATCTTCAGCTTTCACTCTTTAGAATCCTAAAACTCCATCTTCATCTCCATCACCATTCTCTGAACCTCCATTCTCTCTATCATATTCAACCTCCCTTATTCTTAGACCTGGCTTAGAACTTTGGGCGCTCTCATTCCATAATTGTCACCCTTTCTTCTATGCACCTTCATCAACCTCTTTCATCATCTTCTTGAATCGAGTATTTGACACTACATCAATTCTTCACCATTCAGGAGCATCACTTTTGATTCGCTCTCTCCATATCCCCAATCTTCATCATCATCATGCAACACTCATCTACAACATCGCAACAACCGCGTAACTTCTCGGTGTCAACATAATATCCGCAACCGAATCAACAATAATCATCAATAACTTCAACACAATCACAGTAACAATGACGATTTCAATAACAATATCATAGAAAATGCAAAAAGTGCAAGGAATCAGAGAAGAGAAAAAGAATTGATGTTGTGGAAGTAATAAATACAATTCTCGGCTTCGTAGGTCTAGTTTTCCTATTAGATGCGGAAAGAAGGTTAAGATCTATGAATGTGAGGCTCTGACTCGCAAGCGATGAGGAGTATGTGAGATAAAGACGAGACGTGGCCATTCGTGGTGGTAATCGGTGGTGGCCGCGGCGACGTGCTGACAGAAATGAAGAGAGATTGAGATAGGGAAGGGAGACATAAGAAGGTGGCGGAGATGACGGAAGAAATGGGAAGAAAGATCGATTGAAGCAGCGACTGAAGAAAAAAATCGTGCCGCTGAGTATTGGGATGAAGAAGAAATTGTACCGTCACAATTTCTAAACCTTACCTTCCTTTTTTGCATTATATTTTTTTTCATAATTAATTATTTAAATTTTAAAAAAAATGGATATGGATTTGGTGGCTGGACCGGGCCATCTCCCTTTAAGCCCATCCGGGGTTTTTTTTTCCTTTGTGAAGTTTGGAAGACCTAAAACAAACAAAAAATAGCATTTGGACTTCATGGTGATGGGCCTTGGCAATAGCTTGCTACATATACTCCCTGAATCCAGTTTACACCCATGTGTAGAGTTTTTTTAAGTTATTCTTTAGTTTTTTTGTATATAATTGTTAGATAACAGTTTTATTGTTAATAGAAATTAGAAAAAAATAAGAATAATAAAACAATAAAAATTGTTAATTGTTTCTTAAGAAATATAATAGAATTTTCCTAAGATTTCTTTTTTTAGAATTTTGGTTAGAACTTTCTATTATGGTTTATGTTCGGTAATCATTTTGTTGTCGAGATTTTGTGATTCACTTTCGCTTGTCGAGATTTTAGTCTTAGGCAGGTTCAGTGTATGATATACGAACATGCTTAAATTTCCGATTATGATTTATTTTCACAACGATGATGCTTCGACACTTATTCTGAGCATTGGGTTTCTGACTCTTTTCTCTGTTTTCTTGGTGAAGCTTGTGTGAAGTATTTTGGATTTCTTTGCTTTGGTTGCGCTTTTTTACGGACATTATTTTTCGTTTGGTATTATACTGCTTCAAATTTATATTTCCGCATTTTATTGCTTTCTAGATATCATGAGAAGTAGGAAATAAAGAGTGTGCACTCGAAGTCGCTGTTTAAAGACCTGTAGCAGGCATTCCACACTTCATTTATTATATGTGTCATGCTTGTATTTGTTTCCTTTCTTATTGATCGATGAGTCACTCAATTTAGATATTGAGATCACGACTTTGCTCTCAGTGTATACTCCCTATAGTATTTTATCGCTTTCCTTTATTTCTTGTTGATCGATGAGTCACTCAATTTAGAAATTGAGATCACGACTTCGCTCTCGTTGTATGTTCCCCATAAGATAATTCTGTTAGACTTTCTTTGGCATGCTAACTTAGATAGGATCACTCATTGTATGATAACATTAGGTTAGATTTAGGTTAGTATCCCTTTAGACTTTTCTTTCCCCTTTTGCATTTGCATTTGCCTTAAAACAAAAACTTCTTTTTCTTGCAAACTTCAAGACACTTAAATATTACTGATGAGAGTCTTACCTTTTTTGAGTATGGGAAATGATAAGCGAGTTTCTTCTCGATCTTATTGTTCCTCCATTATAAGCCTTGGTGTGGTTCAAGTCTCAAAGACTTACTTCATGAATAAGTAGAGAAATGGCTAATATCTCTCTCTTGAGATTAACTAGTCGTTATCTGCAGCAAAATCACCAACCAACACAAACTATTTTGCCTTTGGGCTTTTCTTTCAAAATTCTTTCTAAAAGAACATGTTAAGTCACTTCTATGCTGACGCGTAAGTCTCCAAAGGTCGAGTTGCGGAAGAAAGAGAGATTAATATTGTTCATTAAAAAATACAAACAAACAAAATATGTGAGCCGAACTATGGAGCTCTGATTCCTTAAAAGGGATATGTAGGCATCTGGCCACGGGGCTCAGCCGAGCGAAAATTTGTAAATATTTCCTTATTTTCCCCGTGTTTTCTTTGCATGCATTCCCTCTTAGTTTATAACTCTTAAGCATTATAATGAACACACCCTTTGATTAGAATAACAAGAGTGGATCCCGTAGAGTACTACGGACGTGTGTGATGCTAATACCTTCCCCTCGCGTAATCGACTCCCTTACTCAATCTCTCGGTCACAAGACCTTGATTTCCCCTTTACGTTTTTCTTTGATGATTTTCCTTTATCTTTTGTGGGATAAATAAATACTCGGTGGAGAATTAATTGATTTTATCGCTACAAACATGATGGTGAAAACAGAAGAAAAATTCGGAAAAAGATTTTCGGAAAATTGTGAAAAACAGGGATCTGACACGGCCGCCTGTGTCACCAGACACGACCGCCTGTGTCACCAGACATGGCCCGTGTCATACCATCGAGAAAAGAATAATTTTTTGAGTTTATCAGTAGGCTGACACGGACGCCCGTGTCAGCTGTCACGGACGCCCGTGTCAGCTGTCACGGACGCCCGTGTCAGGTGACACAGCCCATATCAGTTCTACTTAAAGAAAGTGGAAAAGGGATCATGTAATGTTTGGTCAGAAGCCTGACACCGCCGACCATGTCACCGAACACAACCCGTTTCAGGCAGGGCACACTTTTTCTTTTTTATATAAAACCTCCACTTTTGTGTTCCCCATCCAAATTAAACGCCGTAAACACCCATTAACCCTCATTCACCTTTCATAAAACAAATTTTTCACTTTCTTTCTCTCAATTTGTCAAATATCTTTTCTCCTTCTTCTTCTTTCTCTCAATTTGTCAAATATCTTTTCTCCTTCTTCTTCTTCTCTCAAAAAACCCCATAACCACCTCCAACAAAAGCTTCAATATTTCCCCTTTTCACCCACTCAATCCACAAACCCCCTTCATGAAAGTTCCTCCATTCGCCATCCGCTACTAAAATCCGGAATCTTTTTCTACTATTTTCTCCATTCAATTTTCTCTAATTTTTGCAGGTACCGAAAATTCCCTCGCGCATAGCTGATATAAGAAAGGCAGCGACTGAGGCATCTATGCCACGATAGAGAGCTCGGCGCACCCCCAATGCATATGGTATTGTTTTTGAAGAACTCGATCACCAACAAAGGTATTCAGTTCTTGTCAAGCATAAGAACACTCCGACCAGGTATATCTGTGACAAAACCTTATCTGATTTGGGTTTAAAATTAGTGGTTGATCAAATGTTCCATGTGTTAGGACTGCTTAAATTCATGCATCTAGAGCTGTTAACTTACGAGCGCATTACCCTTGAGTTTTTTAGAACTATAGAATTCCACCTAGAAAAACCTTGGAACGGCTCTACGAGAGTGTATGAGGGTAACCTTACATTTTGTATTTTTAATAATGATCATGAATTATCTGTTGCAGAGTTTGAAGGTATCCTTTGACTCCCACCATACGGTCCCAGGGTTGTGTCAGACACCTTTGTTCCCGGAGATTTCTGGACAGCTATTACAGGACTGACATGTTATATGGCAAAAGGAGCCAAGGCTTCCGGTATTCAGAACCCTTGTTTCTGGTATGCCCAAAAAGGGTTGGCTTATTCTCTGTTTGGTAGAGGTGATAGCACAAGGGTGGCAACACAGAGAGAATTATTCTTTTTGTATTTAATGTCTCACAATGCACCGGTTAATGCTACCAATTTTGCATTTGGTTATTTAGGGAGAGTTGGAAGAACATCCTTCAGTGGTATCTCGGTTGGGGGAATGATAACCTAAATTGCCGAGCACTTTGGTTTTGGGACGATTTTGCTAAATAAGACACTGGCAGCAGGTAAGACTAAGATTGATATGGCTACTCTAATTCAACAAGGTATGATTGAGGTTCATCGTGATTATTACTCTCCTATTATTAATAAAAAACATGAGCGTGCTGTCCTAGAAGACAGGGACAGCCATATTCCTGATGATGTTTTTACAGATGAGTCTATGGAAGAAGACGCTCAAAACAGGGAGAAGTTTGTACCTCCCCCCATGACTCGATCCAACTAGACACCGGGTCCTTGTCCATGAGTCAAGATCAATGGGAATGGGTGCAAGCTGAAATAGGTCATCTTCGTACTAAACAAGCCCGACAAGGAGAAGAACAAGCTTGTCAAGGAGCTATGATAGGTGAGGTGAATGAGATGATGCAATGATTGATGTTAAAGCTTCCTCTACCGTAGTGATGCTTTTTGAGTCCCCTCTCTATCTTGGACTTAAACATTAAGGTCAATGTTTGGTTCAAGTGTGGAGGGGTTTTTATTGCTTTCAGTATTTTTATTTTTGTTATTTCATTTTCGTACCGTTTATTTTTCACTTTGATATTGGTGTGTTTTGTATTTCGTGTGTTACAGATCAAAGGTATTTGTACCAGATGAATGATGAGGCTTGTATTTAATGGATGAAAAGACACAACCCATTCTAGTTCTCCAGGAAACTCCTAAAAATTGGTACTGCTTAGGTGAATGATTGGACGCGACTTTCCAACACTGGACAGATACCAGAGTACTATGCACTCGAGACAGAGACGAAGTTACATCACACTAAAGTTATTTTGGATTCTAAGAGCTATACAAAACATGGTGAGGATCATAAAAAGTCAAACATAATATCATCATGAAAGTTCTTCAGGTATGTCTTTGTCACTCTTAGTTTGCATAAGTATTTGTTGGAACTTCAATGCACACGTATACACACTGAGGCACTTGTTTGTTTTTAACCCCACCTTTTCCAGCCAACTATTCATGTTATCCTTCGTTAACCCCACTCAATACTTTTACCCTTTTGTTTATTTATTAACCACATAATTTAACCATGAGCCCAAACACTCCCTCACCGTGCTTAGATAAGTGTTGTTGATTTTTTATCTATGAAATATCTTATGTTTAGGGTTGGGACACCGGTAAGAACTAGGTAAGTGCAGTTGAAAAATATGATGAGAAAAGTTTTGAAAAACAAAGAGAAAAGAAATGAGAAGTATAATAAAGCACTTACTTAGAGGAAGATTTAGTTTGAAAAATTCGAAAAAGCAATGCTCAAAGAAACACTTGAGTAGAAACTAAAGAATCCTAAGAGAACGGTGTCCGATACTCGTGATTGTGAATAATGAAAATAACAAATTGATGAGAGTAACAACATTGAATCTGAGCCAAAAACCCTTTGTTTTCCCTTTTGTTTGTTTATCCCACCTTGTCACTAAGCCCCGTTACAACCTTAAAAGCACTCAAAAAATGTGTGTGGTATGCGTATGAGATAAAGATAAATGTTATTAAAGCTTATGAGTTGACTTTGCATGCTATGACTATTGAGTGTAAACACTTTAACCCGAGAGATTTGGTGAGAGTGTGAAAAGCTGACAGGTAAAGAGATACTTCGATGTGGAAGTGTGGAGGAACATCAAAAGTCGAGGAAGAATGAAACGTTGAAAGGAAAGTGAAAAGAAAGTCGCGAAAGATGTAGGTGGTATTGTGGTAAGAAAATTTTGAACAGTTCGGGGCGACCTTTATGCTGTCTCGAGCATTACTTGAGGATAAACAATGAGATAAGTTTGTGGTTGTGATCGATCACCAATTCTACTTATTTTTGGTCACTTATTCGGCATTATTCCCTGAAATTGGTAACATTTTGTTTCATCTTTTTATTTTTTTTCAAGTTAATTTTACTTTCCACATTTTCATTCTCGCATTGCTACTATTATTAATTTATGTTATTTTGTTGCATTTTATGCGTTTTGTGGTAGTTTTCTATGTCCTCAGATCCTGGGTAAAAGCCCCAAAGGATTTGCGCGAGAAAATGGACATTCCGAAGATTTTCGAAGAGTTTTTTAAGAGTATAGTGGTCCTGACACGGCCACCGGTGTCACTTAACATAGGTCGTGTCAGGAAAGGATTAAAAGATGAGGATTTAGAGGAATTCAGGGGGCTGACACTGGTACTGGAGAGTTCTATGCAGATGATTAATAGGCCAACATAGTCAACCGTGTTATCTGACACGGCCTGTGTTAGCTCGGACACTATAACTTCTGATTTTCTTGGATTAATATGTCAATTGACTCGGGAGGGTATTTTGGGTATTTTCTATGGCTGTTAAGTGAATTGTGGCTATTTAGACTTGTTTTTGAGAAGATAGAAATACTTTGGACAAGACGGAAGAATTCTATGATAAATATTGGAGCTTTAAAGGGATTCGGAGAACAAAGATTTTCAAGAGAAATCGTGATTGAAGATCAAAGGAATCCAACTATCTTGTAATGAGGATAAACCCCCCAATGCTAGGGAGTGTCCCTGAATTGCTTTTGCAATGACCTTGATTTCCTTTATTTTATGAGATACATGATTTTTATTAATCTATTTTACTGTGCAAAGGGCTTAATGCTTTTTCTATCGGACAAATGGAATTTGATTTACGATTAAGGTTTAGGTCGGACAAACCAACTTAACGATTTTTGCACGATAATATTGCAATTGATGTTGCCTAGGAATAGATAATCTGTAGTAACCGTATTATTCTTGTTAAAATATAATTCTTGATATTCATCCTAAATCGTTGAGGAATTAGGGTATAGGGAGAATATTAAAGGTTTTTCTGCTAAGGAAATAGGGAAAATACTCTTAAGAATCAATAATAATTTGTTTTAAGCCATATCTCGTAAATAA